AGCCCAGACTGGACGCCTCAGCATGGCTGGTAAGGAGAGCCCCGCTCCTTCTGCCCTTGGAAGGGAAGGGAAGGGAAGGGAGCAAACTCTCAAGGTCCTGGGTTCCAATCCCGGCTGCCTCTGCCTCCTGGCAGGTGTGGCCACACTGCAGAAGTGAGCCCCTGGGAGATCCCAGACAGCATCCAGTGGGAGACCACTATGGTCCCAAAGGCACTGCAGAAAGGACCCAGTTTGAGATGGTGATGAGGATGATGGTTTTGTTTTGTTTTGTTTTGCTTATTGTTATGTTTGATATAATTACTGCTTTTAATTGATATCTGGTTTAATTGATTTTTAAGGGGGGGGAGGGAGTTTTGTCATTTAAGTTGTATGTATTTTAGTTTTGTAAACCGCCTAGATTGGTTCGCCACAGGGAGGTATATAAATAAATATTATTATTATTATTATTATTATTATTAGTATTATTATTATTAATTATATCCTTCTTTTCTGTCGATATAGGGACTCAAGGTGGCTCTATGTTGGCACTCTCCCAATATAGGGACTTCGGCACTTTGGTCCCAGACAGGATCCAGTGTGAGATCACTTTGGTCCCAGACATGATCCAGTGCGAGATCACTTTAATCCCAGACATAATCCAGTGCGAGATCACTTTGGTCCCAGACATGATCCTGTGTGAGACCACTTTGGTCTCAAACGCACTGCAGAAATGACCCAGTGTGAGATGATGATGATGATGATGATGATGATGATTTTCTTATATCCCTCCTTCTGTCGATATAGGGACTCAAGGCGGCTCTATGTTGGGACTCTCCCAATATAGGGACTTTGGCACTTTGGTCCCAAACAAGATCCAGCGTGAGACCACTTTGGTCCCAAACGCACTGCAGAAATGATCCAGTTTGGCACCACTTTGGTCTCAAGGCCCCTGCAGAAATGATCCAGTGTGGGATCACTTTACCTGCCCTGGTTCAAGGCTAGGGAATATTGGGAATTGTCATTTTGTGAGACATTTAGCCTTCTGAGGTTCCAATCCACACTGCAGAGATAATGCAGTTTGAGACTGCTTTAATTGCTCTGGCTCAATGCTAGTGAATTCTGGGAAATGTAGTTTTGTGAGACAGTTAGCTGCCTCTGTCTGAGAGCTCTGGTGCCAAAACAATTCCCAGGATTCCCCAGCACTGAGCCTGGACAGGTAAAGCAGTCTCAAACTGGATTAATTCTGCACTGTGTTTTGGACCTTTGGCTGCATCCACACTGTAGAAATAATCCAGTTTAACACCGCTTTGGTTGCATTGGCACTGCAGAATTAATCCAGTTTCATGTCACTTTGGCTGTATCCACACTGCTTAAATAATCTGGTTTGACATCACTTAGGCTGCATCTGCACTGCAGAAAGAATCCAGTATGACAGCACTTTTAACTGCCATGGCTCAATGCAATGGAATTCTGGGAACTATAGTTTTGTGAGACATTTAGCCTCCTCTGTCAGAGAGCTCTGGTGCCACAACAAACTACAAATCCCCAGAATTCTACAGCATTGAGCCATGGCAGTGAAAGCAGTCCTAAACTGGATTATTTATGCAGTGTGGATGCAGCCTTAGCTTCCTTCTCAGTTTCTCAATGGTATAGCTTGGAAGTAACTAGTTAACTAAAATAACTAGTTACTAGTATCAGCTCCTTTTTCCAATAGCATATGTATAACTAGACTACAACTGTAACTTAACAAGGGATATGTTTCACTGCTTTGAGGGTGTAACTCACTTTTCACCTACTTTGAAACTTGTGGAAGCAGTTAAAGTGGTATCAACCCAGATTATTTCTGCAGTGCAGATGCAGCCTTAAACAGCCATGGTTCCTTGTTATGGAATTCTGGGATTTGTATTTGGGGTGGCATCAGAGCTCTCTGACTGAGAAGGCTAAATGTCTCACAAATTTAAACGTAGTATAACCTGAGCTGGTTTGAACACCATCGCTCTTGTGTTTAATAGTCTGGGCTCTTGATTTCTGTCCTGATCTATGATTTTACTATCTTATCTAAACCAAGGGTGGGGAAAGTGTGGACAGCTTGTTGGACAGCAGTTCCCATCAAACCTAGCCAGGCATTTTGGGATTACTCAGAGATTGTATCTACACTGTAGAAAGAATGCAGTTTGACACCGTTTTAACTGTCATGGCATCGTCCTACAGAATCCTGGGAATTGTAGTTTTGCCAGTCACCACCATTCTTTGGCAGCTCGGCTCTGGTGCCACATCAAGCTACAAATCCCAAACTTCCATAGCATTGAGCCATGGCAGTTAAAGTGGTGTCAGACCTGAGTTTTGGATTGTGACTCTAGAAACCAGGGTTCTTGGGCAAGTCACACTCTCTCAGCCTCAGAGAATGGCAACGGCAAACTTCCTCTGAACAAATCTTGCCAAGAAAAACTCATGCTAAGGTTGCCATAAGTCGGAAACAACTTGTATGCACACAATGCAAAGACTATTACAGTACACTGTTGGCACACAGATTGCAAAGGCATCTTGTAGCCTACCTGAAAGCAAGAAGCTGGTAGCATGAGCTTTTGTAGACTTCTGCTATGGAATTCTGGGATTGGTAGTTTGGGGAGATGATTAGCCTTCTCTGTCAGGGAGCTCAGGTGCCACAACAAACTACAAATCCCAGAATTCGTTAGCCGTGGCAGTTAAAACAGGCTCAACTTGCATTATTTCTTCAGTGCAGATGCAGCTGTGATTTTTTTCTACAGGTCCCAAAATTGCACAAAGTGGGGTATGCTGGGAGTTGCATTCCAAAATATTGATGATGATAATGATGGCAGTGATGATGATGGCAGTGGTGATGATATGATGATGATGATGATGATGATGATTTTCTTATATCCCTCTTTTCTGTTGATATAGGGCAGGGGTATGCAACCTTTCCCCTTTTAGGGCTGAGGAACTTCAGCTCCCAGAAGCCTCAGCCATGTTGGCCAATAGTCCCATGTTGGCCAGTAGCTCCTGAGATTTTGGGAGCTGAAGTCCCTCGGCCCTAAAAGGGGAAAGGTTGCCTACCCCTGATATAGGGACTCAAGGCAGCTCTATGTTGGGACTCTCCCAATATAGAGATTTTGGCACTTTAGTCCCAAACATGATAGCAGTGGTGATGATGATGATGATGATGATGATGATAGGCCTGTCTGGAACTTTGGTGGACTGAAGTCCATCTCCTTAGATTAAGATGCAAGGAAGGATAAGCAATGTAGAAAGGGTTTGAAGACAATCTATGAACCTTGAAGCCAAATAAAACTGGTTTGCCTTTAAGATGCAAGAAGACTCCTGGCTGTTGTTTTCTACCAGTCAATGAGAGAGACACCAAGGATGACTCAAGACTAGCTTCATATATTCCATACCATCAATTATTTCTGTTCACATGTCTTGCAATCACTTCAGCCTGAGTCATGGGGGGTGAGTAGGTAAGAGGGAAAGTAGTAAAAGTACTACCAATAGTAGCTGGTGGATGACATATTTAGGTTGAAGTCAGAGCAGCTGTCGACTACGAAACATGGTGGTTTGGGGTTGCCACATTTTCTGACTCGGTCAGCGGCTTCGCCTTTCACAAAGCAGGAGGAGAATTCATCACCTGCAGATCTGTTTGGTGTTGCACCAAAATATCTAACTTTGTGAAAAGCCACATGTTGGTGTGTGTGTGTGTGTGTGAAGTAGTGTTTGTGAAACACACAGGAGTCGAGACAATGTCCCTCCCGCCACATTTCGTTGCAAATGATGCACCTAAGAATAAAGTTTGGGGCTTGTGCTTGGTTCCACACTGCAGAATGAAAGCAGTTTGATCCCACTTTAACTTCCATGACTCGATTAATCCTACAGAACCCTGGGATTTGTAGTCTGGTGAGGCACCAGAGCTCTCTGACAGACCAGGCTGAATAGCTCATCAAACTACACATCCCGGGATTCTGTAGGATAGAGTCATGGCAGTTAAAGTGGGGTCAAACTGCTTTCATTCTGCAGTGTGGCTACACTGGTTTAAATGCTTGCCTGGTCAGCTTGTGAAGACCAGTGAGTTGCCTTGAACAAGCCACTAGTTTTCAGTGCAATGTTGTGAAGCTAAAATATTGAGCTACTTGGAGAACACAAAGGGTACACATTTGTTGTTATGTTGTTGTTTTCTGGTGGTATGCATTCCAAGTTGTTTCTGACTTACGGTGATCCTATCATGGGCTTTTCTTGGCAAGATTTGTTCAGATGAGATTTGCCCTTGTCTTCTTCTGAGGCTGAGAGAGTGTGAGTTGCCCAAGGTCACCCAGTATGTTTCCATGGCTGAATGGGGATTCGAACCCTAGCCTCTAGATTCATCATCTGATGCTCAAATTGCTACATCACTTTGTCTCCAACTTATGGCAATCATATCATAGAGTTTTCTTGGCAAAATTTGTTTAGAAAGGATTTGCCATGGTCTTCCTCTTAGGCTGAGAAAGTGTGACTTGCCCAGGGTCACCTAGCGGGTTTCCATAGCTAAGTGTGGATTTGAATCCTGGTCTCCTGGAGTCTTCATCCAGTACTCAAACCACTATATACTGGTTCATGGTGGGTAAAAATGGAATGTCTTGATGCCAGTATCAGGATGCTATGTATGAATGGTCTGAACCCCTGAACGTGTATGTAGACCACAAGTTGAACATGAGTCAACAGTGTGATGCAGCAGCTAAAAAGGCCAACGTGATAGACGTATAGTGTCTAGAATCAAGGGAAGTAATAGAGCCACTCTATTTTGTTTTGGTCAGGCCTCGCCTGGAATATTGTGTCCAGTTCTGGGCACTACAATTCACATGAGACCTTAAGGTGTCTTCCATCTCTATGATTCTATGTTGTTGGATTGCAAGTCCCAGAAGCCCCAGTTACAACTGTGAGAAATACTCAGAGTTTGCAGTCCCACAACAACTGGTGGGCAAGACAATTCCCACCTCTGATGCAGAGGACATGACAGTAGCATGGAGCCTTCTGGATGTTGGTGTAGTGGTTTGAATGTTGGACTATGACTTTGGAGACCAGGGTTCGTATCCCTGATTGGCCATAGAAACTCACTGGGTGACCTTGGGCAAGTCACACTCTCTCGGCCTCAGAGGATGGCAATGGCAAAGCCCCTCTGAAGAAACTTGCCAAGAAAACCCCATGACAGGCTCACCTTAGGGGTCTGTAAGTCAAAAACAGAAACTGTGACCTTGGAGACTGTGACTCTGGAGATTAATACAGTTTGACACCACTTTAACTGCCATGGCTCCATGCTATGGAATTTGTAGTTTTCTAAGATATTTAGCCTTCTCTGTCAGAGAGCTCTGGTGCCACAACAAACTAAATAACTCAAGAGTTCTATAGGATGGAGCCTGAATAATTAAAGCAACCTACAATTCCCTTAGTGGCTGGGTGGATTCTGGAAATTGTAGGTTTAAAAAAAAAATAACATCCTCATGCTCTGGAAAGTAGCAACAAAATTGATCCGGAATTGCATTTGTTGTTGTTTTCGTGTGCCGGCAACCCTAAGGAAACATATCATAGGGATTTCTTGGCAACTTTTTCAGAGGGAGGGTTGCCATTGCCATCCTCTGAGGATGAGAGAGTGTGACTTGCTCAAGGTCATCCAGTGGGTTTCCATGGCTGAACCAGGATTCGAACCCTGGTCTCCCAGTGTCCTAGTCCAACACTCGAACCATTACACCATGCTGGTCCTCCTTCCGATATTAATCAGATTCCTCCTCTTCTCTCTCTCCCTCATTGAGTTAACTGAATGCAAATTAATTTTGGCATTTAATAATAATAATAATAATAATAATAATAATAATAATAAATTTTTATTTCTAGCCCGCCCCTCTGCTCTGCAATCGGGGCGGGTTACAACATTTTAAAACATACAAAGTTAAAACAAGCCTTATCCCCATAACCCCCCTCCCACCCCCTAAAACAAGATTAAACTTTAAGAGATTAAAACATAATACAGTCTAAAACCAAACAAACAATACATTACAAAAAACAATAAAACCAAAAAATGAAGCGAGCTACAGATAAGGGACAGTTGAACTCAGTTTGCAGCAATTGAAGTAATCTGAGGACAGAGGGGGAAGGTGAAGAGAGAAACTGGGACATCTTACAAACAGCCAGGAAAGTGGGATGGCAGAGGGTTAACTGGACTGTTCCTTACAAACTAGGACATTTGGAGGGTATAGAAATGCCTGGTATAGTGGTTTGAGCATTGGATTACCACTCTGAAGACCCCACTCAAGGTGATCTTCAGCAGGTCACACTCTCTCAACCCCAGAGGATGGCAATGGCAAAGCCCCTCTGAAGAAACAAGTCAAAAATGACTTGGAGGCATACAACAACACCATGGCTATGAAAGGCTTGGATGGTACAATTCAGTTCACTTCACTTGGTTTATGGTGCTACTCTGCGGAGCAGGTGGCAAAGATATAGGAAGAAATTGTAGTTCAGTTTCTCTCCTCTACTAAGGATGTTGAGGTTTGTATTACAGAGGAAGAGATGAGGCTTCACAGAGGAAGTAACTGATGCTCTAAAGGGGAAGTAACTGAGTCTCAGAGCAAATGCACAAAAGGGTGGCTTTAAATGCAATTTTTAAAATATGCATCTGTGTGGTTCCTTTCTCATATATACCTTAAATAAAGAGAAGGGTGTGCTTTTGTTCTTAATTCTCAGAATGTAAAAAAAGCAAAGGGGGGGAGAAACAAGGTTCAGTCTAAGGCAGTTTGTTCAAATCATTGAGTAATCTTAGCCCACTCCTACATATCCGGGAATATGGCCTTTGAAATCAGTGCATGTAACTTCTGGGCAATCTGAATATGGGATTCCTTGGAGCTTTAATCCCTGGGCATTTGACCAAGGAGCAGAGAAAGGCTTTGGAGATGTATCAGTGTTGGACTATGACCTGGGTTCGAATCCTGTTCAGCCATGGAAACGCATGCACTGGATATTAGGTTTAATTACTGGAAGCAAAAATAATCATTTTGAATCAGAAAGGCAAGGCTGATATTCTGGTGTCTGTGCAAAATCTAAATTCTCTGTTTCTGTGAAATTTCAGATCTATGGTTAGGAGTAAAAAAACTTGGTGCCCACCAAGGAAAGTAGAAGGTTAGGAGAGCACAAAAAACAACAGATTTCATGCTACAGTTGCATCTACACTGCAAAATTAATGCAGCTTGACACTGTGTTAACTGCCGTGGCCAGGGTTCAAATTCCCTCTCGAGGTGACCTTGAGTAAGTCACACTCTCTCAGCATCGGAGGATTACAATGGCAGCTGACACTAGGTCCTGGACCTAACCTTTCCCCATATGCCCAGCAAAGGCCTAAAAGTTCAGCAACTCTGGGCATTTTAGCCGGAGGTTTCTGGGAGCTGAAGTTTTTAGAAAAGTAACTCTCCCAAATTCAGTTGGGAAACTATACATCTTTCTAAAATATTAAAATCCAGATGTAGTGCTCCAGCTACTAGTGTTGTAGCGCACGGGAGTGGGCTAGCTCACTCTAGCAGAGCTTTCAAGATACCTCACCAAACTACAAATCCCAGGATTCCATAGGATGGAACCATGACAGTTAAAGTTATAACTGTGAAGGATGGATGCACCTTGTCTTCTGTCACTCTAGAATATAGCGTAAGCTTCTGCAGAGCTGGTGATGGAGAGTGAGGGAAATATCTTTTAAGAATGGCCTTTTGTTCATTTCAACTATGTACAGTTACCGTACTTAGAAATTATCAACCAGTAATGACTGTATGTATATTCTAGGTCAGAGGTAGGCGACCTTTTTGAGCCGGGGGCTGGGTTGCTGTCCCTCAGACAATGGGGGGGGAACGAACCATAAATAAATAAATAAATAAATAAATAAATATAAAAGTAAAAAAAATTAAAAAATAAAAAATATGCACGCACACTCTCTCAGCCCCAGAAAAGCCATGGCAAAACCTCTGTGGAGATTTTGCCAAGAAAACCCCAAGAACAAGTAATAACAACAATAATCAATATCATCATGGCGGGCGGCAGCGGCGGCGGCAGGACCGGCCCAAAGGCCTCAGGGGGCCGCATCCGGCCCCAGGGCCTTAGGTTGCCTACCTCTGTTCTAGGTTGCTGGTGCTTAATACCATTGTATGTGTGGGAATGAATGAAATGTACCTTGGAATATTTATTTAAAGGCCTTTTGATTCTGTTTTTTTTTTTTTAAGATAATGATGATGATGATGTCATTTAATTATAATGATTTTTGGAATCACAGTTAGCTTTGAGGTTATGGAAGTAGTACTCCAAACCCTTCTGGAGGGTGGCAGCTTGACCAAGACTAGTTCAGGTAATCATATCTCTCAGCCTGATAAACTGATATATGAGCAAGTCTTTTGACGGTACATGCACTTCCTTTGCTTCTCCCTTCATGCACATCCACAAAGAAACCAAGAAGGTGTTAGCAAAGTCTTTGATTTCTCATTTCTCCAAACTTCGATACTATGGTTAAGCACTTCCAAACAAGCCAGGATATTACATGATGATCTGAATCTTCATCTAGAATTCCAAAATTGGAAATGTTCCAAAATCCAGGATGCAAAGTTGTCCACATGGATGGCTGAGATAGTGACACCTTTGCTTTCTGATGGTTCCGTGTACACAGACTTTGTTTCATGCACTAAATTATTTAAAATATTGTGTATAAAATTACCTCCAACCTATGTGTATTAGGTGTATGTGACCCATAAATGAATTTTGTGTTTGGTCCAATGATCTGCAAGGTTATCTCACTATGTATGTGCAAATATTCCAAAATTCAAAATTATCCACATGGATGGGTGAGATAGTGACACTCTCACTTTCTGGTGGTTCATTGTACACAGACTTGGTTTCGTGCACACAATTACTTGAAATGTTGTGTATGAAATTCTCTTTAGCCTGTGTGTATATATGAAATATAAATGAAATTCATATTTAGACTTGGTTTCCATCTCCAAGATGGAAGTGATTGTGGAAGGCAGTAGTGAATGAGATTTGTTATTATCTGACTCATTTAACACAACTTTCTATGTTCCTCTCTCAATAGTTGTGTTCACTTCTTGAGAATCCTATTTATATGACATTCCCCTAATACTCCAGAAACTCAGTTTTTGGGAATCTGATTACACCATTTTCACCCAAGACTCCATAAATTTAACTTATGTCATTAGGTACTATGGACACTGAGCATACTACTGAAATGTCAGAAGGCTACAGCAATAAATTCAAATTACAAGAAAAGAGATTTCACCTAAACGGTAGGAAAAACCCCTTTACTGTAAGAGATGTTCGATAGTGGAATAATCTGCCTTGGAGGATGGTGGACACTCTTTCTTAGGAGGTTTTTAAACCGAGACTGGATGGTCATCTTTCAGGAGTGCTTTAGTTGTGTATTCCTGCATGGAAGAATGGGGTTGGATTGGATGGCTCTTGTGGTCCCTTCCAACTCTACCATCCTATGAAATTTACTAAGCAACAGGTATTAAAAAGGTAGTGTTGATTTGGAACTTCTGTATTACATTTATAAATTAGGCATCTGAATTTGAAGGCATATAACAAGAACATTTGTGACTTTGCCCGACGACTTTTTTTATTCCTGTTCATAGTTTGAACCAAGATACTTTGGAGCTGTTGATTCTTCAGAAAGGTGTTGAAAACTGATATCTAAAACAATCATATCTTTAGAACTCGTGGATGGTTTAGGAAGCTTTTACTTTCTCAAACTGGGTTGTTGCTTTTTATTTTATTATTTTTATTATTATTGCGCTTTTTATTTTTTTCTGAATTCAGAGATATTGGATATTGAAAAAATATTGAATAAATAGTTTGGCTGAAGTGCCTGACAGTAAAACTTTGACAAATTACTAAAGCACAATCTTTAGAGGGAAATATAATTATTTCTTCCAAAGTTTATTATCACAGAGAAATGTAAATATAAAAATGTTGGAGATGAAAAATTTACAGACATTTTGTGTCCATTAGAAAAAAATCTGGGTATTCTTGAAAAACAAACAATTTTTGGAAACATTGACACAA